AAAAAAAAAAAAAAAAGTGAGAGTCTGTTGCTTGAAAGGAAGAAAGATGAAGCAGAGTATTAAAATATGGCTCCACTCATTCACAGTTAGTAGAATTTTGCCTCTAACATTGGGATAGGTTTGAAAAGATTCACTCACACAATGCCTTTCTCAGACCCCATTATGACCACTAATGGTCATAGTGCTGGGTGGTCAGCCAGTACCAAAGGGGAAAAGGGACTGGACTCATAATTTCCGGGCATCTAATGTGTACCAAACACTATACTATAAATTTTCATACATGTTTATTTTATTCTCACATCATCTCAGTGAGATAAAGATATTTTTTATCCACTTTAAAGAGAAAGAAATCAAGGCTTAGAGATGTTAACTCAGTCAAGACATACAGCAAGTAAGTAAGAAAGGCAAAATCTGGATCCTTATCTGTCCACCTTGAAGGACTGTTGTCCTTCAGTGTGCTTGTGGCTTGTGAAACTAACTGGTTCTCTTGGAGATAGGAACTATAAACACCTTACATTCTTGAAGGGTAGAAAACTACCTGAAGGCTAATTCATTAGAGTATAGCAATCTATGTTGAATGAGTCTACCAGATAACCACTTAACTTGCCACTAACCTATGCAGAGACTTGTTTGTGCTTGTCGTAACTCAAAATCAGTGGTTCTCGAAACTCAGTTGGCATAAGCAGCATCTGGGGAGTCTGAGAGAAATACAAACTCCTGGCCCTCACAGGTTTGAGATTCTGATTCAGACGATTTAAGTTAGGGCCCAGAAATCTGTATTTTATCAAGCTCCCTGGGTGATTCTGATGCATATGATCTCCTAATCACACTTTGAAAAACACTATTCTTTGTCATCTATTATATGTATTCAACATATGAAGTAATCAAAGAACAAAAGCCCTCTTACCTGAAGCGTCATTTGGTTGAAGTCATCATAGGTACGAAATGATGGCATCCAATTTAATTTCTTTTGAGACCTTTCTGGATTGACTTTAACTTTTTAGAAAAAAAGAACGAAGGACGGAACAGTGTCACATTAAAATACTTAGCTATGGGTATTAGATTTTTCAAAGTTATACTTAATTTATAGAAAAGACTGATGAGAAAATGCTGAGTGCTAATGAAGGATCTGATGTCGACTAATTGTATATAAATGATCATAAAAACAGAAGTGTTTGGAATTGAAAAAGACTTTGAAGATCATCCAATTCAATTTCTGCCACACACATTATGACCTGTCCAAAGATTTTATGATTTTTCAACTTCTAGTTCTTTTTTTGTTCTCTTGAGTTCTACCAAAACCCAGTATCCATAATCTGCCAGGTAAGTCAAGGGCTCTAAACAGGTCCAGACCCCCAAAGCACTCCCCTAGTCCCGACTAAATTATGGAACTTCACTGTTTACTTTAATGTATTTAAGCTTTAAGCAAGGCCCTTAAATAGAATATCTTCAAGCCTTATATTTTATCTTTTCAAAGCTACTGGTACTGACCTCTCCACCATCTGTCCTATCACATTCTTCAAGGTTTTCTGGTTTCCCCAATGGGAAGTGTTTCTGCTGCTGTGCTTAGTCTTTGCTGTCAACATGTGCCCCTCTCTACCTCCTCAACTCTACCTACTCCACTAACTTCACTAGCAAAGGGATTTCACTAACACGGCCCTCCAATCTCAAGTTATTTTAATGCTTCATGTCAATAAACATTAGTTCCTTCTCCTTACAGAAAAATGAGACCCATCACATACAACTTTGATCTCCATTAAAAGTGTAAAATCCTATGACAAGGATAATTTTGACAGTGGCTATTGCTTTCTTTACAGGCATGGGTCTTTGACCCTTTTCTAGGAAT